CTCCCGTTCGTAAAGAAAAGACAATATTGCCTTCAAATTGGGAAAAAAAATTTGAAAATTGTCCAGATCGGTCAAAGGACACGCCTACACTGCAACATTGAATTTTTGTGTTTTTTATTCCTTGCTGATAAAAACGGAAAACATCAGTCACGCCCAATGCCAGTGCCATAGATTACGGAAATTTAGTTTCTACGTCGATTCTTGTTTTTTTTTTTTTTAGGATAAATGTTGCGGGTGTAGCAGATTCGGCTCGAATGCAAATTTTTTTCTTGTTTTAATTGATGTTTATTAAACATAAAATTCTTGCAATAGTTAATGAAACAATGAACAGATAGTTTATAGCTAAGGTTTCCTTGAGTCTATTACAGTTATCCCTTTTGTGAGATTTGTCTGAAGATACGCTAAGACACGTTCACTCTCAAACCGTTTTTATTGGGCATCTCAGTTTTCAAAAGAAAATCAGAAATGTCTTAGAAAATCTGGCTTCACATCATATCCTTGTTTTGTCCGGCCAATTATAGGAAAAATTGTTAAAGTTTTCTAACTTGGGAGTGGGGCAAAATCCTCACCATCGTAATGGCTTCCGAACGATGTTACACACTTTCGGTGTACAATACGATTTAAGAAATGTTTCAGTTTGTTTAGGCGAGTACAACCTATGAAAAGTAGATATACTTACCGCAAAATAGTTACACCCTATCCTAACTTTGGTGCAGGGTATATTAAGTTTGTGCGGACTTGCGTAACACACAGAAGGGCTTTAGGCAGAACCACCGTTAACTAGGTCCTAGGTCTGTTTGTCCGACTGTCTGTCCATTTTATATCTGTCCATGCACATTCATGTTCAAGCTACAGATCACTGTCTTTGAGGTATTTATTTATTTAGTGAGTGATCGAGTTAAAGGCTGCCGGGTAACTTACGTACGCGATCATTGAGTTATTAGTAACAGTCCTCTGCCTACTCGGTTATGTGTGTGGAAAGACCTTTTGAGATATTTTGATGGAATTTAATGTACTCAGATTCTTTGACCCAAAGGCAAATGCTATTGTCCACCTTTTCGACGGCTTCGCATATAAAACGCCCTACTTTGAAAAGCCGTTATATGGAAAAAAAGTTGCAATTTTCAAAATGAAAAATTTGTTTCGGCTGGGGCAAGTTTTTGAACGTTCTCTCATATAACCGTTCCTACGGAAATTAAATCTTTATATACTAAAAAGATATAATTTGCAAAATTTCATGGGGATAATTAGGAAATTATCCTCTGTCTAGTCTCTTTTTTGGATGCCACCGCCTGCAAGAATTTCTCCAATGTGCGGGCTTTCATGTAAACAATGTTTTTGCATGAAAATAATGTTTAACTTTTGGTGCATTGTTACCAAAGCGGATGCCTAGTATTAGGCGAAGTGGTGTAGGGTACCTAAAAGTCGGCCCTGCGCATCTATAATGTTCTTACTTATATTTTACGAAGAGTTTTTATTGCTGTATAATAATGGAAAGCACAAGCTACATGTAGCAAGAAAAGCAAGTGAGAATAACGACAATTTTGCTAAAGATTTTTGCGTATGCAGTTTGTAGGTGACAGGGAAAGAAGAAGCAGTTTCCTAAATATTAGCTAATAGTAACGTATAGTTTCGCTCCGCTATCATGATAACACAGTGTTTTTGCCGTACGCCACAAGATATATTAAGTTAGTGCGGACGTATGTGACACAGAAGGGCTGGAGTAATTTTTGAACATCCCCCCATATACGACAAAACGATATAGTTTCCACTGCTTCATGATGAAAATTACTGTATGATAGTAGTTTAATATAAAAAAATTAACTGTACCAAATTTTGCCAATCTCGGCCTTTTTTTGGATCCTAACCTAATAAGGATATTCACGAAAATTGATACTTTGTAGGGCAGAGAAGTCTAAAGTTTAATAGGTGGTGACGACAATTGACCATTTCGACCATCTCCGTCTAATTTTGGATCCTCCCGTATGTAATGATTCGACTGGTACTACGTTAGGCTGCGTTTTGGCTACGTTTCCCGATAAATATGCGCTTGAAAAATATACCTTTGTAACAACAAGAAACAAGATATAATTTTTATGTTCTATAAGAAAAATAATGTCGTGTAGGGAATTTAGTGGTTAGCCTTGCCTGACTATAATGCTCTTACTTTTTAGTTGTTTAAATTGTTGTAGTAAAGTTCTGAAAGTCATATACTAAACTAATGTGTTTTTGCTAGAATCCCTAGAAGGAGTTCTATCCTCATATTCATAGTCCAATTCAGTCAGTTCAGCTTTCTCTAAATAATAGCCTTCGAAAAAATCAGAAAAAGCTTACACTCAAAAGATATTACGAAGCCCTAAAAAACTTCAATCTTCAAAATTCAGTTCTGTTACTGTAAAAAGGTTAACACAACAGATGTAAAGTGATGATGAATCATGAAATTTCATCCTTACTTAAGTTTTTTTCTCTATTTCAACTTTGTTTCAGCTTCCAACCTTTTCAAAGTCCCGGGCAAAAGTTTGCCCGGGATCTTCTGGGAAAACATCAATACCAATATTAATTTTCTACTCCATAATCGACTGCCGTAAGCCCGACCATAGATTTGATACATTTAAGCATTTTAGAGCTTACTTAACAGTTGTTGTCAACATACAACAGACGTGTAAACATGCCGCTGTAAATGATCCAAAAGCAACTGTCACATAGATGTATGTGCCGGTTGCTAGTGAACGTGTTAAACAGAAGCAAACATCATCCACAATACACATTACGTTGTTAAGTTACTTCTCCGTCAAGTTACTTTTTCCACTTTCAAAGCTCTACCGTATTGTTATCTTATGCTCAAGTTTACGAATTCAAATAAGCTTGATTGTGTATATATGTTGATTGCATCGTATGTAGTTCCAGTTTAAAATTAAAAAGCTTTTCATGTCACTTTTCAAACTCCAACTGCACGTTATCCTTTATTACTTTCGTTTCGTTTTTCGTAACTGCGTTTCATAAAACATATTTTTATTTAAGGAACAAACCATCAAGTTTAGTTAGCTTTTCCTCGAAACTCTACATTCATAATTTTTTACATTCAGCGCCATTCAGCCTATCTATGACTATATATACCTTTTTATAAGCTACGCCACTGGTGATATAAACGTATATTCATTTTGTGCGTGTGTATGCAGCAACCAGAAGAATATGAGATAGATTCACCTTGTATTATACCGATCGATTCAGAATCACTTACTGAAGCTGTGTGTGTGTCTTTTCTTGTATTCAACCTAGAGACCGTCATTTTTGGGACTATTTTTTTTTGTTCCAAAGACAATCGCTCTTGAAAATTAAGTATAATGGGAAATGGAGGGAAGATTCGTTATATAACTAGCTGCAGGATATGTCCTTTTTTACTTGCGTGTAAAAAAATACAACTAAGCGTTATTTTGACGCAAATTGAACTAAAATGTACAATTTATTTTCCTTTATTATATTCTACATTACAAGTCGTCGAATGACTTGCAATAGACGCATCGGATATAAAATCACTTTCAGAATCGATCTAAGGTTATCTGGCTGCCTTATAGTCTTGTATTCAATCTGAAGGTCGCAAATTTTTTGAGATGAAATTTTGTACACCGTCATGTACCAATCCGAAGTCCAAGTGTGAAAGGTATTGAAGGCTATTTTTCTACCACTTCCCGCATAAGGCCTCATTTCGAAAATTCGCTATACGAACAATAAGTGTTTGAAGTGGGGCGAGGTAGTGTGTAGTAGATGAGCACTCTTGTCCGCCTTTCAAAAAACCAAAAAACATTTATAAAATTCACTATTTACTTCCGCTTTTTCTTCCCCAAAAATAAGCCGCAGCAGCTTGTTGACCCAAAGCAGACGGAACGACATAAACCAAAAGTTTTGTATGAAGACATGATCAAAATTGATTGTGTTTGTGTTTGTAAAGATATACAACCAAAGATTGTTATGTGTTATTAGGGAGAGAATCTACAGTTGGGCTTTGCTCTCCTAACTATTGTTGCTAATCCAAGGAATCGTTCCTATTGTTTGCCTTACGTAATCTAAGACATGATCCAAATGTAAATCTCCCTTCGCATGAAGATAGAGTGTTTCAAAATCACCTACTTTGCATAGGAGAAAAGGAGCTTGATGCTAAGATTTATGCTTCCAAAAAACTCTTTTTTTCGAAGATAAGACAGCATCTCTATTTCTATTATATAAGAATGATTGCAATGTTCCGATAATAGTCTTAAAATACTACAAGCCCGTTATATGGTACCGTAATAACATCGTTTCTTATTATTGTGTGCGAATTGGACGATTAAATCGATTTAATACTTGGCCGTCTTACCGGTCATCAATGACCTTGAAATGCTGCATCATTTCGTAAGTTCGTGGATGGATTATTTTGCGACCGAAAGTATTCAACATTTTTCGAAATGTGTTCGAATTTAAGGAAATGCATCTTCTCAGTGAGTTCAAGTAAATGTTTTAATCAACCGAGATTACGGCCAATCGGCGGCGGCGGCTCGCTGAAAATTTCTACAAAAATTTTGAATTTATTTTTTTTTCCTCTTTTTTTCATCATTTTTCATTTCACTTAAATTCGTTTTCATCAAATGTTTATTTTTATTAAGAATAAAACTACATTTATGAATGTACGTCCCTGTATGGGGACATATGCATATAATGCTTATGAAGCTAAACTTAATTTGGAACTAATGAATACATAATGTTGTACATTTCTTTACCAATATCTTACAAATGGTAAAAATAATAATTAACGTTTTTTGTTTTTTTTTTTTTTGTTTTGTTTTACACATATATTTAAGAAATCAGTTCATATTTTGCACCTCAGGAAAATACAATAATTTAATTAAATAATTACGATAATAAAATAATTAATAAATTCAATTATTTCTTGAACAAATTTTTCTTATATACTTTTTTTTTATGTTTTTCATTTTTTATTTATTTATTTTATTTTTTACTTATGTGATGAACGACGAGAGTACGTGAGGAGAGGAGGAGAGAAAGTGATATTGACGAAACGAAAACAACAGGAGTTTGGACCGAAGGAGTTTGGCAGACAGATAGAGACGAAGGTAAAAATATACAGCGACAGAGATGAAGCTAGAAAGGAACAGAAAAAGAGACAGAGAGATTTTTTGTAATCGGCATTTGCCGAACTTTTTGATACCCACCGCCTTCACGGTTATGTTTCGAGAAATTCGATGACTCTAACCCGTGGTGTAATTTACTCCGTCTCCCAATCTTGGGGATAGAGAGAAACTTGAAATGTACACTACACGATAAATTAGCGTCGAGTTAAGATCATTTGTGAAGCAAGCCGTGTCAGAGAAATCCTGATATAGTTTAATATGGAAAATATTCCTAATAAACAGAGTTTATACGATTCGGAATTTTAGGCCTCATGAAGACCACAATTAATTGTGTCTACCTTTAATTTACATAGGCTGTCTATAGCAACCTTAATTAATTAATTAATTAACTAATTAAGTGATATTCCTCTGGCGGGCATAAATAACTATACTAACATAGAATTGAGCTTAATTAATGGTTTCCGGAGAAACCGTTTCTTGGGGGATTATTACTAGAGCATGTTAACAGCAAAATCGTATCCCTGCCTCAGCTTATCACATTGGTATATGTCTTATTAGTAAATATTCTGAGAATTGTTGACCTTCTACGCCGCCTCCGGTGCTCGCTTCAATAGTGAAGCCGGCATTCAGTAATCTAGTTAATACCTGCACCGAATTCAGTTTGCAATAACCGTTTAGTGGGAAACGTATAATTTGACGCCAATCTCCCTGATTCCATGATACGCCGCTACGACTGGTTTGAGTGGCTTGATTTGCTTCGGGAAAGATTTCGTCTAAAAGTGAACGCTCGGATGAGATCATAATACGCTCACCAAGATCGGGTGATATATGCAAAGCCACTACTTCGTAATTATATTCACTATTGGCGCCGGTTCGTGGACTAGTTTTAATGCGTACGGGAGGTGTAGGCGGTGCCACCAAATAATTCCCATTGCGTACACGATCTTTACGCATGTTTTCAAGTTGCTTTACCATAGCTGAGAGAGAAAAAGAAAACAAAAAGGATTCTTAGGATAATTGCAAATTTTATTTAATCATTCGTATAAACGAATTTGAACTTACGCTCAATTTCAAAGTAACGAGCTTCCTCTAGCAATAGTTCCAAGTCGGGGAAATCTTCCGATATCAAAAGTCTAGAATTTCTCATAAAATTTAATATATGCCGGAACATGCCACCGTCACGATCTATAAAGTAATGCTGTTTTAAAGAGTCCAGCACAATCGGTATCGAGCCATTAAAGAGTTTGGCCAATTTAGAATCAGGATATTTGGTGAGAGTTTCCAATGAACTTGTATAAATAGTGCCGCCTACATCAATATGCACAGGGGCTGTATAACGAGATGCAGCTGCGACGCAAGGGATACCTGTTATAGGCTTATGATTTGCATGTATATAGGACGATGAATTGCCGGTGGGGGCAGTTGTGTTGACCGAGCCACTTGCAATTCCTGAACCTACAGTCCCCGAGGGTAAACCTAATGGCGTTATAGAAGAGCTAGCCGGTGGTGTAGGCGTGGGTGAACTAGAGTTGGAGATCGTTGGTGATACGGTAGGTGATGCACTAAAATAATAAAATAATGATTTATATAAATTAAAGCAGAAAATACACTCATATCGATTATTATTATTATTACGTACCTAATTTTTATATCGTTTCTAGCATAAATTCTGCCCGTCGATGAAAGATCTCTAGGTTCCAAAGATTTGTTTTCTCTTTCTCTTTCTCGATCCATGTCGCATTTTTTTCTGCAAAGAACAAGAGTTACAAACATTGTATGTAAGAGAAAAATAGGTCGTATCAGCTTAGATAAGTACACACATGTAAGCAAGTTTTAAAGAGATCGGATCATTCAGATGGAACTATCAAAGAATTTCATCTATAAAACCGTTGAGAGTTTCTTGGTTTCTTTGATAAGCAGAAGATACTTAATAGTATCGCTACTTTATTCATATTCATATCGCCTTACATTTATACATTTACACTTTCTTGATAAATTGTGCTCTATCCTTAAGGATCAGTAAAAAGTCAAAATGTTTCTACTTTTATTCCCACCGACGATCTAAGGGGGGTGTATTCATTTTGTCAAAAAGTTTGAAGTAGCCAAAGGGAATCTTCAGAGAACTCATAAAATATCCATCTTCTTGATTAGCATCGATTTAAGTATGACCATCTGTCCGTCTATTTATATATGTGTAATCCATGCCGCAAAAGTGAAACTATTGACGTTAAAGATGGCAGAAGCATTGAAGTTTTTTGCATACAAGTTGCTATGGAAAATCGAACCAAATTGTTCGAAGGATACGTCTACAGTGTAGCATAAGCTGAGTACACCTCGATTTTCAAAAGTAAAAAAATTTGTCACAGACTTTCTAGAAGTGACCCTCCAGGACCTGTATAAATGTGAAAAAAAACGGACACGCCCATTCAATATCGTAGCGCATTGAAATTTTATTTGTTTTGAAATTATTTTGATTAATGGAACGGTGGTGAATATAGAAAATTCGATTGAATATAACTTCTTTCTTTCTTGTTTGTTTTTTGAAACTCGTTCCCATCAAAACGATGCTAAACCCTCTTTATCATAACGGCTCCTTAATATTATTAGGGAACATGCTGCTAATGATTGCTACTTAATCGCCTTATGTGGGCTTCTATTGAACTAAGCGCGTCTACAATCACCTTATGGCATATATATTGGAAAATAGTCCTGACAGGACAACAACCTCTTAAAAGTATCGATTTATTAATGACAAAGTTTGACGAATTTTTCTTTAAATCATTTCAGTTCAAGTGAGCTTTATAAGACGACAACGACATTGTTAGTTATATTTGCCCGTAGGTAATCATGAATAACCCCCGCTTATGCAAGAACAAGTTCTGAACGATTTTCATATCGTACACTACTTATGATACAAGGGTACATTAAGTCTGTCCGGATGTATGCAACACCCAGAAGGACTTGAAATGCAACCATGTTTTATTGTACCGTGCAATTCAGAATCACGTCCCGTATTGATTTAGACTTAGGCTTGTCGATCTTGTTGCCTTGTGTTCAAACTGCTTTTAAAAATATTTCGGATCGAATTGCTTCTCTGACCACTTCCCTTGTAACGCCTTGTTTTGAAAAGTCGTTGCGTGAATAACTGCAGGCAAGTGTAAGCTATTAATTGGTGCGCTTTGGCCCACTATAGCTTTTTTGCTTATTTTCGGAGAAAAAGCGCTTACGTCAAAGCAATGGCAAAAAATATTTTATCCAAAGTGTGAACTGTCGCAAGCGCAACAGTCCAGTTTTCCAGTCTTTCTAACAAAACATAAATTTCCTGCTGAATCTAAGCCAAGCTTACATAGGCAACAAGTCATTGTTTAAAACGAATGCTAAGCGGAAGGAAGGACGTAATGTGAATATGTATTTCGGCAGAATAACTTACGGACAACTCAAATCATTAAAAATACTAATAAAGTAATGGCATCTCTTCAAGAAAAGAAGTAATGAGTTATTTGGTATACTTGGTATCTTTACTCGGTGAACACGACGAACATTTTTCAACTGAATTTTTACATATATATAGATGTTATTCATTTGATTTCTTCATTCCAGGAACTAAAAATTCTATACGTTTTATAAACTAAAATATTCACTTAATAGTCGTAAAGGAATTCCATTGGTCTAGCTTGGATAGTTGATAAGAATCGTGGACAAATTAATGAATAAATAAAATGATTTACATAATTTTAATACATTTTCATTAAAAAATAATTGATTTAAGAAATGTTGAATCTTTGGGTAAATATTTACCCAAATTTTATCTGAAAGATGACAATTTTCGTTCTCTGATATGCTTATTATAATGATCGAGAAAATGTTTGTCTTATGAGCTTGAGTTTTTTTGGTCGTCAAATCGACAATGAACAAGTGTTCTGTTGGAGGCTCTACATTGTCCAGATATAGATAGTAAAATTCAAGAACACAGCATATAAGTTTTTAGTGGGCCAAAATTCCGATTGACCGATCCAGCTGTGTACCTTCTTCCCTCTGTAGGCTTAACTTTCACATCTGGAACACCAACAGTGGTAAAAATGTACGCGCGCACGCGCAAATTAATTTCAAAAAACAAATGCAACTCAAAAAATTGTGATAAATGAAAATTTTACTTTAAGAAAATATACAATATGCTCTTGTCCGCTCTTTTTAATACGATTATTATGGCCGAACAATGTAATTTGGTGAACACAGAAGCTATACAGACTTTTTTTTTTGATTGATGACCTTCGATTAAGTCTGAGGTCCGGCCTGTTACATACTTGCAATTTTAAAAATTGCAAATTTTTCTAAATTTCATTTGACTGTTAACTAATACAAATGTAACGTATTTATGCAGCCAGTCAGTTACTGCTGCTGCAACTGTCATGGCTTCAAAGTTTGACTTGATGAACAAAAAAATTGACGCACGTGCCGACAAATTACGTCGCAAAATATTAGAGACTGAATTCCTACTTATAAATAAGTTTACAGAACGAAATTTCAAAAACGCAACAAAAAAGCAAAGTAAGAGTTCGCCAAAGAATTTATCTAAAGATTTAGTGCAAAGTTGATATCGAGAAGACTGTTGAAGAAAAACTTTTGGCGATTGTTAGAGGTTTGCTTCAACTGCCACGTTTATGAGATGGATTTCGATTACTTTTTCAAATAAGGAAAAGCTATATTTGAACTTTTGATCGACTTTTGATTAAAGAATTTATTACCCACATATCCACTGAGAGCATATTTATATATTTTAGTCTTAACAAAAGTAATAGGTGTACAAATAAGTTTTGCATATTGAATCAAATTGATTGCTTTGCAGAAAGGAGGAGGAATGCGTTCATTTCTCCCAATATTCATGATTCGCACGGTATAAGCTTCAATTGCTTATAAGCTACCGTTCAAAGTGTATATCAAAGTGTAAGGGGATGGATAAAAGGTTAGCGTGGAGCATTTAACGCACTGCACTACTTCAAACTGAAAGAAAGATGCAACTCAAGCGGCGGACATAATTAACTTCGCTTGTGGTAAGTTATGCAACAATGAGGAACTGGTTTGCGAGATTTCTTGCAAACCAAAGATTTTAATCTTGACGACGATGAACTTACTGCGTTCTGCAAAACAGAAAGTGATCTTCAACGGGGGTTTGGAATTGCGCCTAATTGCGACCTAATCTTTGAACCTGCCGTCTTCTGGTTACCTCTTGCTTAAAGCAATTCAGTCGTATTGAGCAGGTAAACGATTTTTTTTTTTTTTTTTTTGCTTTTAATGACCAACCACTTGGGGAATGTTTTCCATACGTGCGGGGACTGTGGTGATCAGGAAGGAGCTTATAGGAAGAGAGGGGTAAGCGAAGGTAATCGTGTTGGTAAATTTTCGTCTTGAAAACAAACCCATCAGGTATGGTGGGAAAGAACGCCACTGGAAGTGTGTTCCAAAGCGAGGGGTACGGATAAACAATGACGAGTCCTGGTAGTGGCTGTGCGGTGTGCAGGTAACTGCAGGACGAATGAGTGAGAATGCTGAAAGGGCGTATACCCCTAGCATAGCGCATATTTCGTCACTGCTCAAAACTTTTGGACACACTTTCGTCGTCCTTGAGCATCTGAGTCTTTGCTTTGTACGCAGTCGGGGTCCTCCAAGCAACGTTTAAATATATTCTTATGTTGACCGGACATAGGCGGCGTAAGTGGTACGGGTGCTAGCTGTAGGCAAAGGCTGTGGGCAAAGGCCTTGGATAGTTATGGTAGATGCTTCTTTTATAAAGCATTGTAACAAATATTTTTCCAAGTAAATCTGAATTTTCTTAACAAAATCCGCAGTATCTATGCGTATACCTAATAAATGAAAAGGGCAAAAGTACATACAAGTATATATATATATATATGTATATGTGTACATTTGTGCGGGTGTTTGTCTGTTTATATCTTTGCATGTGAACGAATCGAATGAATTATAATATAAAACCAAAAATTTGCAGAGAGTCGTATAAGCACAACATTCGAACGAACATTCGCTACAAAATTCAGTTCAGACAGAAACCTTTTGTTCGTGGCAGTCAGACAAGACATCAAACCAAAGCACTAGATTATATATATATATATATATATATATGTATATATGTATATGTATATGTGTGCATAGATATTTATAATGCACAGTATTCCCCTTTTGAACGTAATGAAGAAGTATTCGTTCCCTCATCTCTCACTACTTAGATTCCTTTGGCGATGAGTTGGCCACACATACACATATAAAGATATTTTATCTTGTTGGGCAAACAACACAAAACTGCCTCGGGCGTTTAGTTGGAATTGCTAAGCACACCAGCAGCCATAAGAACAACGACAACAGCAACCAGTTCCTTGAAGCCAAGCAAGTCAAATCGAATCGGATAGTATGCATCTTTATGTATGTATATATGTATATATGCATCAATTTATATACATTTCATATATATAGTTTATTTGGTATGGGGTGGTTGTAAGTAACTTTAGTGCTCATCTGACGCTTAACGTTGCTATGCTTGCTGTTCGTTTGTTTATTTGTATATTGTCGTTTTCTTCTTCTTTTAGTGTTATTGTTTATATCTTTTGCATCATGCTTTTCTGTTAAAGCAAAAACCCAATTACAAACATATAAATAAATACGTACATAAAACCGAAAACATATCCCCGTTAGCGGTAAATGAGGACCCAAAGCAACCGACACACTAATAAACCA